ACTCTCTCGCTGCTGGCCACGGCCGCAGACACGCACTCGCGGGCTCCACGGCACCACTGACTGCTGCTGAGGATAAACCCGACGTGTTGGCCCGACCTCTTGCCCCCCTCCGGTTGCCATTTGAGCTATTTTTCCCTGGTACATATTCGCCATCTGTAGCCTCTGCCACGGCCCCGGTGTTCACAGCGGGACTTGTATTGCTTCTCACTCCCCTCATGGCTTCAAGGCTTGGTAACTATATACTCAAACACCTGTTCTGCAGATGTAAACACCCAGGTCTCAAGGGGTTTGACTGCAATGGAAGAAAGCCATGTATAAAATATGCGAGCTGCATGTAGGCTTTAAGAATATTTCTTAGTTGTATTTTACACTATATATCATGGTATCAGGCGAGCAAATTACTCGTGTCTAGGCACTAACAACTCGTTGGAACGCCGATGGAAAAGGGGTGCCAGCACTGGGTCTCTTAATTAACAAACAATTAAGATGCTCCTGAGAACAAATGCCGCGCAGCACCATCAATGTATTTCCCCTGAGACACGCTCCACTATTCAAGAAAACATGTGTTTACATTTCACCCAGGACCAGGGGGGAAGAGAGACGTCCCTTCGTCATCGTCCTCAGTGCTCCGCCAGTTGCTTGGAAACTATACGAACGCATTATTGTAAACAAATCCTAAATAATGAAAGGTTCGGGAGGGGGGGGGGGTGTTTTGGTCGGCATGGAGGTGCCGGGGGTCGCTGCTGGGGAGGACAGGTTCCATGTCTCAAGGACGAGTTGGAGCCTTGTTGACGGGTTGGTATAGCACCGTCTGTCTGCCTTTCACACACAACTGCCCCCCTCCTCTCCTCTTCTACCACACAATCATTTATGGCAGCTCTTCCTACCTCTGATAGCTGTTCATTTGCTGTGTCAGTTGACAGTTCCGTGTGTTCACATGAAGTGTTTAATCATTTGAACTAGGTACCCCACAGGGAGGTGTGCTGAGCTCTACCTTATTTAATATTTTAATAAATACGCTGGTAAACTCTGTGCCTAGCAAACCCAACGTGCACATCATTAACTACGCTGATGATATAATAATAAGACATACCACTGGGTATATATTAACACGCAAGACTTAACTCCGCATTAAACTCGTGTCAGCACCGATGTTTAGTCATCTCAGCAGAGGAAACAAAGTTACTAAATAGGCGTCCACCTAGGCAGGGAGGAGCTTTCGCAAGATCCAACTGTACTCACCTAGTTGTGCTTGCAGGGGGGGGCTGAGCTTTGGCTCTTTGGTTCCGCCTCTCGATTGTCACTCAACTGGTGTACCAGTGGCTCCCAGCTTGACTACGTAAACACATTCAAATACCTTGGCCTTGAGGTGCCACTGTATGGTCCTATATTGTAATTAAACTCTGTCATCGGTATAATGAGAGAGGCTCAGAGCTCTCAAGGCTATTGCAGGTTATCATTCAGACTATGGTGCCAATGTCAGAATTGTCAAAATTGTGTACCTTGTATACATCAGATCTTTAGTGGCATATGCTGCACCTCTGCTTGTTTTGGTGTCTGAAAAAAAGCTTGAAGGTCTTGAAAAATTGCAGAACGAAGCCTTGAGGATTATCCTTGGGTGCCCTCGTACCATATATATATATATATATATATATATATATATATATATATATACATATATATATATATATATATATATATATATATATATACTATTCATATATATATGAATAGTCACGGGCATGAATAGTCTGAGTGTTGCAATGATGAAGATCAAGTCACCCAAGAGGTGGCACAGGCATGAATAACCCGTAAACCGGTAAAGTTTTGTTGTAGCAGTCTAAGCGGGTTTCAGAAACCTTATAGATCGATTGTTATATTATGTAAATAGTCAGGCAGATCGAGCAATATTCAAAAATTCAAATTCAAATGTTTATTCAGGTAAAGTACATACATATAGGGTGTGATACAAATATTGATGAATTTATAGAGAGCTAGTACATACAATGCCTAAAGCCACTATTACGCAAAGCGTTTCGGGCAGAAACGAATTCCAGTTAGTTATTCCAGATGTATTAAAATCATCAGCATTAAAACTGGCACACACATCTAAGACTGCAGGTCACCCGGGGATTTATAAAACTTGAAAGCGAAGTCGCTCTTTTATTTCCCGGGTATGTTGTCGGAGGTAATTAAGTACGTCAAAACTTGCTCTAATTGCCAGAGGAGTGTTGATTCTTTACTCTAAACTGATGTTAATTACATAGGTACTTCAGCAAGATTGATTATTCATTATAATATTGAGTATTACATTAATTTCTCTACTTTACGTGAACTAATAAACAAGGCGGAGTCTTGAAGTAGAGGGAGGGTGAAGGTGTGGGAGGGGGGAGGCCAGCCTCTTGCTGGCTGGTGTTGCCAGTTCTTACATGAGTCGTCTGCCTTTGGCCGAAAGGAGATTTGATTTTTTATTCATAAATGACGTTAAACTAATCTAAGTACTTGACAAAAGAGGTTATTAATTACAGTGTTGCTATAATACATGTATTTCTCTCAATTGATAATTTAAATACAAGGAACGATGGCAATCCTTGACTCCACACCTACGCTCTAATTCCTTAGGGATGAACCCTTTCCAATTTTTCAGGTAAAATCACCCTCTGACTCCACATAGATTTCATTCATGTATCCAATATAATACCAGATCTATAAGCTTTCTAAAACCCGCTTAGACTGTTACGATTGATTGATAAAAATTAGGTCACCCAAGAGGTGGCACGGGCGTGAATAACCCATAAACACTAGACTTACGATTGATTGATTAAGTCACCCAAGAGGTGGCACGGGCATGATTAGCCCGTAATAGATGAATAGCCCGTACAAGTAGACTGTTACTTGTTTGTTGTTGTTTCAGATTTAGCTACTCAGAACGAAGTGTCCATGTAGCACGGGCAATGGTGAGCCCGTAATTGAGTTCGGTTATTCGCGATAACCTTGTTTCTGTGATATTTGGGTCTAAGTTTAAAATGGAGGAGGGGATTCCTCCTATTTCCCTGTTTATTTATCGCTTCTGTTTTAGTGCACTGGTTTTAGTCTTCTTTTATTATCATTAATATCATTATCTTGGAGGCGGATGTAGATGCAGAATGCTCACTAGTGAGTCCCATTCCTCAATAGCTTTTCTAATCATTGTAGTCGCTGTGGAATGTGCTTCTAATGCAGCTGCTGTCGTTGGATTAATGTTGAGTTTGATGCACAAGCCTTCAGTAGCTTCACATTCCAGTAAGTAGTGCAATAGTAGCGCCTCTGCTTCTGTTTCACGCACCATGATATGATGTTGCTGCCTTGCAGTAAAGTAAGTAAAGTAAAGTAAATTTTATCCAGGAAAGTACATACATAGTTGATTTACAAACATAATGTTGGATTTATAGGTAGAACTAGTACATACAATACCTAAAGCCACTTGTACGCATAGCGTTTCGGGCAAGGTGAGATGGGGGAAAAAACACTTAGACTAAAACTTAATAGTAATTGAGCGTAAATTATAAATTGCGTTGAAAAAAAAATAAAATATAAAAAAGGGGGGGAACATGGTAGAAAATAGCCAATATACAAGTTGGTCAACAAACAGCATTGTTTAAAAATAGTAAGACATGGGTTGACATTTAGGGGTAAGGTAGGTTACATGGAGTTAATTAGGTAGTACTTAGTTTTCATCTTAAACTGGTTAAGAGGGGTACAGCCTCTGACATGATTGGGAAGGTCATTCCACATTCTGGGTCCCTTGATTTGAAGAGCATTTCTAGTTTGATTAAGTCGTACTCTTGGAATATCAAATAGGTATTTGTTTCTGGTGTGGTGCCATGGGTTCTGTTACAACCTTCTAAGAAGCTTTTGAGGTCAGGATTGATATTACAATTCAGAGTTTTAAATATATAGAGTACACATGAGAGGATGTGCAGTGATATAATATCTAACATATTCAGAGATTTGAGTAAGGGTACCGAGTGCTGTCTGGGGCCAGAGTTAGATATTGTTCTAATAGAAGCTTTGTGTTGGGTAATTAGAGGACGTAAATGATTTTGGGTAGTAGAACCCCAAGCACAAATACCATAGTTGAGACAAGGATTGATGAGAGAATAATATAGCATCACAAGGGCAGGGCACGGTACATAATATCTGATCTTAGAAAGAATGCCAACAGTTTTAGAAACTTTCTTTGCTATATTTAGAATGTGTCGCTGGAAATTCAGCTTGTTATCGATGAGGACACCAAGGAATTTACCATCAACTTTACTACTGATTTGTATATTGTTTATTTTCAGATTAATTTCATTTGAGGATTTATTACTAAACAAAATATAGAAAGTTTTGTCAATGTTAGGGGGAATTTGTTAGCAGTTAGCCAAAGATGAACTTTATATAGTTCAGTATTCACAGTGACATTTAGAGCAAACGGGTCAGGACTGGAGAAAATGAAAGTTGTGTCATCAGCAAATAAGATTGGTTTGAGGTGTTGAGAGGCATTTGGAAGGTCATTAATGTAGATGAGAAAGAGGAGAGGGCCAAGTATGCTGCTCTGTGGAACACCAATGTTTATGGGGTAGTGTAGGAGAAAGAGACATAAAAAAAGAAATTGAATTGCTGTGTATACCTCAGCTTGTTAATATACAATAAAAAAACGCTCCTGATGATAAATCTGATGCAGAGAGATGTGCACCGTATATGAGATACACTGAAATGCTTATAGAAATATGCATCGACTCAAAAATACACAAATAAAAAACTCCACTGCGGGCTCACCATAGCCCGTGCTACTTGGATCTTTTAGTTCCAGGTAGCGAATCTTTACTAACAACAACACAAATAAATAATGATAATTATATTAATTGCCGTGTGGCAAAAATACAGTTTTTTTTTAGATTAGTTCATTTATTATGCACCCTATACCCATCTTGTGGGCAAAAATACAAAAAGAAATAATAATAATAATAACAATTATATTAGTGTGGCCGGGACGCGTCGGCTGCTGTAGTGTTGGTGGGGCTGACGGCGTCGCTGGACATGTTCTCTCTCACCCCTAGGGCCTCTGGCCTCGCCAGGTATTATATCACCTTTACCCCCTCCTCATGGGGACACCCTCAGAGTGTGAGAAAGTGTGTGTGTGTGCGAGAGAGAGTGTGTTGTGGCTGGGAGTCACCTATAGGAGATCAGTGGTCTGCCCCACACGTGTCTGCCTCTTGGACACGAGAAACTCATACATACACCTCTCGACTGTAGGTTCGTTTCGTAATGGTTAAAATCTTAAAATAGCATTACGCTGAGTTAGTTTTAAAATACACTGGCGAACCGTCTTGGGTATGAAGTGACAAGAATTTTTGTTCTTTGGACTTGTAAGGTCCCAAGACGTGTGTGGTTCTTGGGCTAGTTGCCATGAAGAAATACAAGAAACTTCGTACCTAAGACGGGTTGCAGACTGCAGTTAAAACCAGAAGTCCAGCCCTGGCTAGCCCCGGCCATCCCAGCCCTCGATACAATTTAAATGAACTTGCCTGAGGGTCACCATTTCTTTAGTGCCTATGACGGACAGGTCGAGCCCGAAGAGTATACACACACACAGGCTTCTTATCCTCAACTACAAAAATTAGGACAATCATTAGAATGAGTTTTTTTTGTTGCTTTGGGTTTATCTCAAATTTGGTATGTATTTTCTATTGGCTAACTTAACCTAGCAGCTCACTCCAGTAGGATATTGCAGGGTCCTCGATCACAGTTGGCCAATATACATATGGTCCGAGGTTCACTTTCCACAGCTAGACATTAACGTTTGGGTAAATTTTATCACGCCTGATACTGCTAGATTAGTGGAAAAAATCCACCACTCAAAATGTAATACGTTTGTAAATGCACATTAATGACACTATGTAAAAGACACATTGAACAACACTTTATGTAGGTCAGACGTAATTCTGTGTATCTATGTATTTACGTATGTAGGTTAGCTTAGCACTTTAAAAGCACTACAATCATCTGTGGTTGATTGTTCAATAAATCCCTGAACTATATTTTTAACAGATCTCTAACCCTGTCCATGGAGGACGGAAGAAAATGTATACTGTATACTGTATGCTGGTTAGCATTGTAAATGTGTGGCCACGTCTGTGGTAAAAAATAGTAATAAAAAAAAATCTTTCAGCCATTACATTAACTTAGTATAATAGTTAATATACCAAGTTAATATTAATATACTGTACAGTATATCATCTGAAAGATTGCTGGTGCAGTAGTCATTGCAGCAGCGCTGTTAACGGGGAGACCCACGGTGGCCTGGGTTCGAATCTTGAGTTTAAGTGATATCTATGCCTTGAGAACATGAAACTTCTCAAATTTTCTTAATTTTTTTTTTAACTTTAGAAGATAAGTTGACAAATTCTCTCTCCATAGTGTATTTTACTGTTTTATTAAAGTTTTGTCTTTCACAGCTACATTACATACCACTACAGTATGAGAATTTTGAGGCCTTTGACTACTGTTGTGTATCGTATTATGGTATTGTTTTCAGGAAATGTGCAACTGGAATAGTACGATTTTTTTCTGGGGGAGACGTGGGGTCGAGCAGTATTCCACCTATCACCAAAGTATCCTTGAGCAAACCTGTCCCTTGGCTTCCTCAGCCAGTGTACGCAACAGTATCAAGCACTCCCTCAGAGACCAAGGTTACAACTTTAGAAAATGGACTTCGTGTGGCTTCTGAACCAAAATTTGGGAATTTTTGCACTGTTGGAGGTACAGTTTAGCTATACTGTATTACATTATTATTAATATTCTCATTTTGTCTAACAATCAGTTAGTCTTAGAAGTACAGTACTGTAAGGTTTTAGCTATTTACATTAGATGATGCCTAAAAAGTTTGCTCCTATTAATACCATGCACTTCTTGGTAATAACTTATATAGTCTCAATTAAATTGTCAAGTTTATTTTGTTTTAATAAGTATTCTCATGATAGCTTTTTAAGGTTAGTGAATTACTGTACTGTATTTTAATTAAAGACTTGTCATTGAAGATTCTGTACCTTGAAATCATTACTTGGCTTCCTCATTCTGTCACTCTCGGAGATATTTGATCTGCTGTGTTATGGTAAGATTCCTGCATTATTGGTTGGGCAGGATGACATTTGACACCAGTGCCACAGAGTTATTTTCAAATTATCACTGCGGCATCATGTAATGTACTAGGAAGCCACAGGAGAAAGTATTATTCTAGTCAAGAATAAGAGATCACTTGTGTGACTGCCAGTGGCAAAATTGTGGGAAGAGCTAACCTGTACCACGGGATAAATTGGAAGTTGCTAGAGGGAATAAAATAAATTGGGGCCCAGAAGAAGCAGACATCCTGAACCTGATCCTTGCCAAAGACGAGAAGCGGAAAGAGAGATGTCCCAGTACCACGTTCAGAAGATATGGAAAGGGAAGGTATGGAAAAATCATGGAACAGAGCCAAGACGGTGGTTGATGATCCTTAGTGATGGATTGAATTTTTTTAAGCGACTCTCTAGCACTATTAATGACCCTGTAAGGATGTAAGATCCTATGTTAAATTTTCAGTGTTCCCTAGGCCATTTTAGCTAAGCTAACACTCATACCATCTTAACTACTCATACTCACATACTCAAATAATACACATTCACTCAAATAAGTCATTTGTTTACAAATGGCACTAAATAATTTAACCAATTACAGTACAACATCTGGCTGCAGGCATACATCCCAACATAACATGCATAATGACCAAGTATAGACCACTTGAAACGTTCTTTACATCTATGGTTTAGAGTATTTTGTCCTAAGTTTGCAAGATCCTGTATTATATTCACAGCAGTCCTTACCTTAGGGAGCAGCCAAGTAATTCTTCTCTGAAAGGTTCTTTACATACTAACTTGTTAATGGTTCACTTTTTCTTTATTATCTAAGTACAATAACTTAGATTAAGGATCTGTATAATATAAGGATTCTCTTTTAATAACACTTTTGTTTTTTACAGTTGTTATTGACAGTGGAAGCAGGTATGAAGTTGCATATCCAAGTGGGATCTCTCATTTTCTTGAAAAGTTGTCATTTGGGGTAAGAATAATAGTTAAGTTGGTAATCAAACATGACATTATGAAATATTTCTAAGAAAAATACAGTACTGTAATTGTTAAATTTAGAGAATTATGTATTTAATTATGTGGGCATTAAAATAATTTTATGTTGATACAAATATAGTATATTAGGAACAATTGAATGGTAATTGAAGTGAAAAGTGAATTGGGAGATTTACAGAGACTTTTCTTGTGTATATTAGATTTTCAGTAATAAAAGGTGGTGTTCTATAATGAGTGATTAGCACCGTCAGCTCATGACCAATTGGTCTTGGGTTCGATTGCCAGGCAGGGGGACTTTTTTCACTAATAGGTACCTTGGCATTAGTCAACTGTTGGTTGCTGCATCTTGAAAATGTCAATGTGAGCCTTGAGAATACAAAGACAAACATCCTCTTGACAAGGGCCAGACTGTAGGTGTAGAATAGATAAGCGTTGGCTAGGAGAATCCTGGTAAGTCTCGACTGGCTTCATGTCTCCAACATTGAGGAAAATTGGTAAAAGTGTAGCACTAAAAGAATGGAAAGAGCAGTATTACAGGGCTGTGTATAGAATATTAAGTGATTTAAATAACAAGACTATTGTCTCCAGGTTAGCCTCACTTGGCACTAGCGCCAAATAGTCCCCGTTGAAACTCGTCTAAAGCGATACCTGTTTGTGTCACTGATCTAAACTCGCTCAAGTTTTTCGCTTTCTAAACACTTGCATTATGTATCTCTCCATTTGATTGGATAGTCATCTTTATTGTTGGTGTTTCTCTACACTGTTGTCTGTACTTTGTTCTTGCCACTACTCTTCAGACTTCTGAAGAGGGGTCCCAGTTTGGGACCAAAATATTTAGTCTACATTTCTTGTGTTTTCAAAATAGTGGGTTATCATTCCATATCATTTATTTTCTCAAATGACAAATGACAAAAGTACTATAGTATTATAGGCTTTAATTATATGTACACCCATATTGCATGTATATCTGTTCTTGGTTCAACTCAAAGGAAGTGTCTGCTACTATTCTGTCTAGTGATGTCATCCAGAAATATTCAAGCATTGGTGGGAAACATCAGATTGTGATTTAACAATAATTGCCTTGCTGATTGTATGGTGCAGGATAACCTCATCTATAAGGAAAGCAAGCCCCAGGTACCCATGCGAGTGTCAAGTGCTTCACAGTACAGTACCGAAAACCATCTCTGAATGTGATGCACAGTTAAGGGGTTGAAGGTTAAATTGTTAACCCAATTTAATACCAAGAATGTAAATTAATTCATCTTTAGATTTGTCTATGAGAAAATTTGTGAGCGTGAGAAAATTATTATATACTAAATAATTAATATTTTTTTTAGATGCAGTAAGTGGTAACAAGTGTGTTTGAAAACAAGTATGTATATTCTGCCCCTGTTTTAAATATATGAAGTACTGTTTAATCAGTCTTGTAGATTTATTGATAATAATTGGTACTGTGTTTATTTTGCAGAAAACCCTGAACATGAGTCGAGAGCAAATAATGGGTACTTTCGAAAAACTCGGAGGCATTTGCGACTGCCAATCATCAAGGTAATGTTGTATAAAATAGTTTTAGCATTTTTAATTGCAAGCTAAGATTTAAAAATTATATACTGGACTAGGTAATTTGCTTATTATTTTGGGACACCCCATCTCCATTATCTGTTGTTATAGGGGATAATCCTTTACCTTTGACAAAAATCATGTGAACAATGTTACAAGAACAGAGGAAATTGCAGAAGTTCCACCAGTGTATGTTTCGAAGCAGCTTCTATTTATACATAATCAAAATAGCTGATTTATGTCTAAATAATTACATTGTAGTCCCTTCTATTTAATGGAGATCGGTGGCTGAGCATAAGACAAGCAGGCAGGTTGAACCCTTGAGTGACCTGAGCTGCCATCCGAAAGTGCCCTTGAATACTAGTGCATGGTTTGTTGACATTGGTAAAATTACCACAGTATTACTACTACTACTACTGTTGTTTTTATCTTTTCTCCCTTTACCCTTCAACAGCATCTATCTTTAAAATTGTCACCTCACTTGCCCACAAAACAAAAAGACTCCTGTTTTGTGTACAATAGGAGGAAGCTGGGTGGTTCAAGTTCAGGTATGTTTGAGGTTAGAAAGAACTACATCTCAAAGGGATAGAGTAGCTTAGGCTATTAGCTGGGTAGTGAAGTCACTGTCATTTGATGCCCCACACAAAAGTGTTGACACCTTTGGAAGAGGAAAAAACTTGTATGCAGTATTCACCTTGGATACTTTTATTTCACTTATTAGTTTACAGTGTAGTAGGAGTAGGAGGCATCTACCAGCTTCCTGTCCTTGTCAAGGCCATTTCAACAAACACAGTGTAGTGATTGTTGAAATGGTGTTGTCAAAGGTTCCCCCCCCCCATTTGTCCTGATAACTTTTTCAAGCTGGATTTAAAAAATTCAGTGTTTTGTCATTTATGGCTTTGGCAGGTAAGTGGTTCCATGATTTTATAACCCTATGGGTGAAAAAACATCTGTTGTCAGTCCTACACTGTGCCTTGTTGAGCTTGAAACCATTGCTTCTTGTTTGTTACATCTGACCTTTTGAAGAAGTTGGCTAGATTAACATCCTCCAAATTGTTCAGTATTTGTTTTTTTTTAAGAAACTTAATGATAATCTTCAGAGTACCCAATCAACCCAGCTGCAGTGCCACTGCCAGACTGTGATGGGCACCAAGAATCTGGTTGATCAAATAACCAGGAGCCCTGGTCAGAGTACAGGCCTTGTGGGCACCAGAAGGTAGCAACAAATTAGGGTTGTTGGGTGCCCTCTTCCCTAATCCACTTTACATTTCTCGTAACGCAAGAGAAGAATTCTGTATACAACCATTTTTCTTTAATTCCTGATGTTAGTTTATAACAAATGTTAACATTACTGTATTTTAAAATTAAGTTTTGGTCTTGGCAAATTTTTGGAAATCAAGTACTGTAGTAGAGTTAAAAGATCTGTTTAAATATTTGAAAGTTAGTTCATTATAGGTATATACCATGTTTTACCAGTGGTAGAACTGGTATTATATATATACAGTACTGTAATGTTGTCACAAGTTTACAAGGTCCTAGACCACTGAATCTTCAGTTTGCAAGGTATGGATGTCTTCTAGTTGATGGAACTTCAAGAGTAAGAATATTTAATAATTTTGCCTAATGGCCATATATCTTTCAGGGATACCTTCATATATGCAGCATCTGTAGAGTCGAAAGGCATGTCTGATGCAGTTGAAATTTTGTCTGAGGTCATCCTGAGACCCCAGCTGCTGCCAGAAGAGGTAGGACATATGATTGATTTTTTTTAATGTTAGCTTAAAAGTTTGTTCTCTCAATAATTTGTTGCCATACATATATGGTAGAACAAATGCAAGACGTTACTCTTCAGCTGTGGCAGTCTCTCGGAGCAGTGTTTTGTTGCACTGGCAGCATTATCGCAGAACACTTACTCTTACTACATAGTGGGTAGCATACAGTATAGAATACAGCAGGTAGTGAAGTGCTACCTCTGCCACAGCTGAATCTACTGAAAAAAATATCCATCCCTATTTTTTGTATATATAAATATGGTTTTACAGTGGAACCCTCATTGTTTTTGAGGGTTTTCAGAGTATCTGGACATGTAAATAGTTGGATCTTCATCCCCATTAACTAGATGAGTGTTTGGTTAATGGAGTTGTCCCCATTATCTAGAGCAGATGCTTAGATCTTCAGGGTAAACTCAAGGTGGGCATGTGGAAATGTACACTGTCTGGGTGGCAGAAGCTTCTACTACCATTGAAAGTGTGTGTGAAGCACCTACAAACACCCACTCATGCTCATTCTCATTCTCAAGTGTTTGCAAACACCCTGCCCATCTTGTCACATGCTGAAAGCTGGCAAAAACCTGAGACAATAAGATAATTGAAACCTGGCTGACAGCTGGGCCTTAATTTATCTTTTTAAGAGTGCACCCTTTCCCTATTTTAAATGTCAGAATAACTTAATAAGCAAAACTAAAAAAAATTGTTTTTGCACATTGGGAGTGTAACGCTTCCAAATATATCTAGTCTATGAGTAAAAGAAGCAAGCCATCATAGCTATACAGAAATCAAGTTAATTTCACCCATATTGTTTTATAGTTTCCTTTGCATATACAGTATTGTGTTCTAAATTTAACTTAATTTTGCCTTTTTTTAGGTTACAGATGCAAGAATGTCTGTGAGCTTTGACCTTGAAGATTTGCAGCTACGACCAGAGAAGGACACATTGCTAATGGAGATGATACATGCAGTAAGTTTCAAAGCTGGAAATCATGTGAACATGAAGAATTCAAATGTAAATCCTAACTTAGCTCTATTCATCTAGCAAGGAAGACCATATAGACTGAAAGAAGAGCAGTATATGAATGCCCATCATTCATATACTGAATGATTGGAATTTTTATCTTTTGGAAATGGTTCTATGCAGACTACATTTTTTGCACAAACAGACTTTGGCACCGTTTGTTTAGTGCTTCACACATTTCCTGATCATTCTCCATTAATCTGTTCCCCATTTTCAACCTCTGAATTTTATCCATTACCTGCAGTTTGCCCTTAATGAATTTATAGAATAGGGCTGGTTCTATTTTTACATTTGTCCGTTATCCCTTTCTCAACATTTCTTTCTGGCTCTCTTTTTTACTGCTGAGAACAAAGCCCCGAAATCATCTCTAGATAACCTAACCTCAAGAAGATCTATCTGTCTTTTTATTTATTTCTTCAAATGTATCTCCCTTCATTTTCCCTGGCTCATTTTCTTTCATTGGTTCCTTTATTTATCCTTCTGTGCCCTTACCTTAATTTTAATTGTCAAGCTGGCAACATCCTGTTCTTTCTGAATAATGTTTTCTTGTAAAACACTTGTTTTACTTTTTAGATCTTCAATTTCTCAATTTTTTTAATAAAGGTTTTCTTTACAAATCTTTTAGCAGATCCTCAACTTTCACTAATCTGCCCATAAACCCACCATTATTAATTTCCTCCTGAGTGAAGCCTTGAAATTATTCTCTCATATTGACATACCAATATCTATGGCATTGGCCATTTTGTTTGTTTAGATTGGCCTAGCTATAAGTTTTTCCCAAATTTATATATTATAAATTATATAATAAATATATATAATATATTTCCCAAATTTATCCTAATATATATATATATATATATATTTATTTATTTTCAAATAATCATCACTATCCACCTTCTGTAATAGATCACAGTATATTTATGAATTTGAGACACCACTCCTGACCTTGTGCATGTGTGGGGGGGGGGGATATGGCATGAGAGAGTGTACTGTAGTTTTTAAGTCATTGATAAGGGTGATTTCTCAATATAATTCTATTAGGCTTCCTTCAGAGACAACACGTTGGGTCTACCCAAGATCTGCCCGCCAGAGAATGTCATGAAGATTGACCGGTCAACTCTCTTCACTTACCTCAAGCATCACCACACTCCCTCAAGAATGGTCTTAGCTGGTGTGGGTGTTGATCATGATGCTTTAGTGGAGAGTGCTCAGAAGTATGTACAGTACTTACATTTTGTAAGAGATATGTTGCTTATTTCATTGCAATTTGTGATTATTATTATTACATTAAGAATTAATTGAATTTAAACTGACCTAATGAATATATACTTCAGAAAGTTACAGTAATTCCTAAATTTTTGCTGGGGAGCATGTCCTTGTAGCTGTGGAAACAGCATGTAGATGGAATTTAAACATACACTATAACATACATACGTGCATTATCATCACCCCTATGTCTCACGTTTATGAGGTGGGAAGCATCAGCCATGAGAAACGAAGTGAGCAATATTGTGAAAGATGGTTATTAAGATAAATAAAATCACCTTTATTTGTTAAATTTAAACTTTATTGCATCACATAAATACCACCACTTATACTGCAGTTATCCACAGGAGCACCCCTCTGCATCATAAGACCAGATGTACAGGTCTCGTGAATTGTCATAATCAGTACCCCCAAATATGTTTATGCCATCCTTGCAGCTTCCACACAGGCTTGTTCATTGTTAGCACCTCAGTTCATGTTTCACTAAGGAAAAATCCTTATTCAAGACTTTTATGGATTATTGTAAGGAAGCACCATTATGTTTTGAATAATTAATGAAATATTTGCTTAAAATTGGGCTTTGCAAGCAGACTTGTTTGAATTGTAAGATATCAGCTACATATTTTGGCTAGTGTGCCTGTGACTTTCAAATGTTTTTGTTAGTAAAACCTGGAGGTAATACCAGTAATACAGTATTTAAACAAGAGTAAGCAAGCTGTCTGTTATGTCAAATTTTCAGGGTAGAATTGGACAAGTGGGTAGAGATTTCCTGGACAAAGGAGGGATCATTGTGTGCTTAGGTAAAAGACATAAACTATACAATAAACAATAATTATACAGTATAGCGCCAGCTAGACAGATTATACGATAGCTTACGGGAACCTTCAAATGCAAAGATTGCATCACAATGTTCTTACTAGTACTCACGGTGGGACACTGGTGCTGTCCCACTATGAGTAGTACTCGATATTCTTTTACCCCCTCCAAAGCACATATTCATCACATTAAACAAAATCACTACACGTAATTACATTTTCTCAACATCGGGTACAAAATAAAATGAGGTAGTAAAAATATTCTCGTATTTAGTCTACATGTGATACATTTCTTCTCTTTTTTTAGGTTCTTTGTGGAAAGTCCAGCTATATGGGAAGATGATCCTAGCTTGTATAGCAGTCGCTCTATTGATGTTGATCATTCCGTATCACAGTATACAGGAGGGCTCATTAAGGTGACTTCCATAACCATCATTGTTAACAGGAAAATCTGCATTAGATTTTAGTCTTGCTTTTCAGTTCTTTAATGTACAGCATTCAAAAAATTAAGCTCGTTTGCATTACTGTATATTGTGACATCCATTGAGAATCACAACTTTGAAGGGATTGAACTACATGTTAGGTAACCATTTTGGATGAATGTTTTATTTTCTTATTTCCATAGTAGATCAGGGTAATGGATACAGGTGGTACATTACAGTTCAGTACTGTAACGGTAAATGATGAGCTTCATAAATAAAATTCTGAATTCTTGTTAAAAATAGGTTATTGTGGAAAAGTAGAATGTGTAAACAAAAGATTAGTCAAAGCCAGTGAAAGTATAAGATAGATTCATTGGAGACTTAATTATTAAAGAAAGTCAGAGTAGGAAAAGTGTACATTGAAAATCATATAGGTTGAATAATTGAATGAAGTGCATATGTAAACATGATTGGTTTTACTGGTGTGAGAATGGCAGGCATTATTGCCTTGGACCAGTTTTAGTGCAAAAGCTGAAATATAGGAAAGCTGTAGGCATTGATAATGTGTAGAAAGTCACTTTTCTGGGGAAGCCCCTTGAGGCTTCCTGAAGCTATCTCACTGAAACGGCTCCCATCTCCAGGTCGCATTCGCCACAGAGTTCTGTTTGGCCTACCAAGGACCAGTCAGAACCCATTCCCCTCAGAGGCACAGAACAGGTGACATTCTGCCAGCCTACCTGGAAAGAATCCAGAAAGTCGGAGAACCAATACAAACAATTGCTGAGTTTAAACACACCGAAGTCTTGAAACTGCCAAATTTCCCTTAACAATGCAAGCAAACAATTCCTTGTGCTAGTTTTGAGAAATTCATGTTAGCACTACCTCCAGGGACCGAGTCTCCTCCCCTAGTCCTCTAATGCAGTTGTCTGATGCATACACAGACACAGGTGTTCTTAGGAGGGGTTCTGGGTCGCTAACAAGCCATGTGGGCCCCGCTGCTCCTTAGCTAAGAGCCTGCCATCCTTGGACTGTCCTGCGAAGGCCATTTGCTTTGTGGTGTTCTACATTTAGTTTGCTTCATGGGTGTGTTTTCTGTATGGTTTGTGTTGTGTGGGCCTGGCTGGTAAGGCACTTGGAACTGCATGTGCTTGGGGCTTCATTCTTGTGCTCCATAGTACTGTTGCTGCGCTGGTAAAGCTCTCTTTGGTGTGTTTAAGAGTTTGCTCTTTAGAGACCAGATCACCAGGGTGGGGGAGCTTACCTTGGGTTTTTGGCTGCCCATCTAGACCCCTTGATTTGAGTGAAACATTTTGGTTGGTTGGGGTGCACCTGGGATTCATATGCTTGTTTTACACAGCACACTGAAGTAGTCCTTCAAGTCAATATTACTGTAATTAGGCTGTGTCGGTCTACTTATAATATTCTTGTGGAGCATCTCCAGTGCCCAGGTGTCTTGTTCTGTCACTCCTTGGGGTCCTGGTAATTCCCTGTGGATTTCGGCGAGGTCTATAGCTGTTCCCCTCTGTACCCACTCTTGTCTTTTGCGAGTTTGAGGGCTGTTTGTCATTTTTGCCACAGGGCAACAATCATTTTTTCTGCCTCTGACATGCTGCTTCTGAGGTCAGTAACACCTATGACCCTGGATCCTCAGGGTTTGTTTCCCCATGTGGCGCTTCTCTCTGACCCTCATAATGAAGCTTAAGCTTATAAGGCAGCTGCTGCTTTATGGGTTTATTTTTCCTGCCTTCACCATTCACAGCTTTTGCCCAGTTGGATGCCTCAAAGTCTTGGTTTTTAGGGAACACGGATTTGGGGGTGTTGGTGAATTCTACCAGGGCACCATCTGCGCCTCCTCTTCCTTCCCCTGAGCATTGTGTGCCCAGCTTCTGTTCCTCCCTTCCCTGTTACTGGGTCCGAAACATCCAAGGATTTCAGAGTTGGGACAGGGTTTAGCATGGGATGTTGCTCGGCCTTTTCCAGAGTTAGCTCCTTACACTTTGGGCACAGAGACAGTTGAATCACCTAGTCTGAAGTTTTTATGGTTTTTCTTTCTCCAGCTGACCCCCTTCTTCCAAAACAACTCTTTCAGATGATACTTTTGTATTCTGGCAGTGATGGGTGGATTCCGTCTCTCCCCAGAGTCTTCATGTTTGGCTTCCAGGTTTGGCATATCCGGGAAAGTTTGATATGGGTCCTTGGGTTGCCTTGGATCCTAATTGGTCTTTGTCCCCTCAGACAAGGACCTTTTGCTTCGGGGGTAAGGGGTTTTCTTATCCCCTTCCTAGTATGATTTTGAAGAACTATCCCCACTCTCCATACTGGAGGGCTAGGTCACAGATTTCCACAGTAAAAACTGACCCACCCTCCAACCGACAGATTGGAGTAGTGCTAACTAGCTTATGCTATTTTTGAGAGATTCGATCATTTGTTTACATTGTTTGGGAGAGTTTGTTAGGCAGTTTTGAAGTTTTTGGTCTTTTTAAAGCCAGTAGTGGTCTGCATTTGTCTCTGAAACCACCAGTGGTCGACATTGGTTTGTTGACTTTCTGAACATTTTTTTGGGCCAGGTTTTGGCTCTGCTGCCCAGTGGGCCAAACAGAACTCGTCAACTGATGCGACCTAATAGATGGAAGCCATCTCTGCTTCAGGGAGCCATCATGACTCATCCAGAAAGTGGCATTTCATTACATTCAATGTTGGTTTTTCTTTTCTGCTCATTGCATTTTCTGTTGTAACTGATGATTTTGTGTCACTGTCCATACCTATTAATAATTTTCTTTTGAAATTGATTTTAAATTACCATATTAGATGTTACGACTAGCTTTTTTTTAACATGTTTACATTCGTCTTTTGAAGGAAGAAGCAGATCTTTCAGATGTATCATTAGGCCCCAACCCTTTACCAGAATTAGCTCATCTGGTGATTGGCCTTGAATCTGTGTGTCATCAGCACGATGACTTCGTTACTTCATGTGTACTGAACATGATGATGGGTGGCGGTGGCAGCTTCAGTGCTGGTGGCCCTGGCAAGGGCATGTACACCCGTTTGTACACCAATGTTCTTAACAGGTATGTGGTGCCTGTTTGAACTTGGATAATAAGCCACTCCTTGTATTTAAATTATAGAAAATATTGAGTACAAAATTTGTTAAGTGAGGTGTTAAATATGTCTCACATGCTAGATGTTAACTTTTAACAGCTTGGTTTCATTGTCTGTAGTTGCCCTTTATTTACTTCATTGTCACAACATGCTTAGCGAGGGCCAAATGGTAGAAACTTTACGAAGTTAGTCCTTATGCGATGCTAATTTCCTTTTTCAGATATCACTGGATGCACAATGCAACGGCTTACAATCATGCATATTGTGATAGTGGAGTCTTCTGCATCCATGCCTCTGCTCACCCCTCCCATCTTGGAGAGCTTACACAAGTCCTCACTAGAGAGTTTGCTGCTATGGCTGGGTATATGAGCAAGGAAGAGCTCGAGGCAAGTACAGTACCTGCTGATTTTTACTAAATATAATGATGAACCATGCAAATAAATTATTGGTATATAGAGAGTATCTTCATTGTAATTTGAGTCTTTTGTGATTGCTTATTTTCATCAGGGTTAACCTTTGGTACAATATTTTATGTATGATTAGGGTAAAGTTGCTAGTCTTTGGCTACTTTCCCTGCTTTTGTTTCTTAAGTTGATTAAAATGTTGAGCATTTTGGAAAATCCTGTGGTATGAATTATGAGAAGTAGCAGAGTACATGAAAGAGATTGGTCACATCAGCCTCAGTTTTCAACCAGGTAGTTACATCATCCAGTTTTAATGGAGTTAAACCAGTATAAATATGTAATGTTTACTGTAGTCTATTCCAGTATTATACAATACTCCTTTTAACACTATTGCACAGCATGCTATACTTATCAAACTGGGTACTCACAAATCCAAAATTCACATGGCTGAAAACTGGTATCATCCACCCAAATGCTCGGTGCATTGTGTTGTGTTGCAGGATCCACTGAAAGGAGAGATCTGTTATTAGTGAACAACTTGGCATGGGATGTGGTACAAGGCTGGATGATAGTTGTTTTGAATGGTGGAAGTAAATGTTGTATATAAAATGTGTGTGGCACTTCATGAGGACACCAGATTTCACAACACAGAAGGATGCTGCTCTAGGTGACTGCTGGAATATAATGATGCGTCTCCACGATGCTATGTACTATCCTGTGAATGATGATATGAATTGATTAGTGATATTTGTATTACAATATGCCTTAATGCATGTAACTTATATTTTACTTGAGGAAAATCAGAAACGGAAAATGGTTGTGTGTGTGTGTGTGTGTGTGTATGTAATTTGGATATTGTGGAAAGGTTTGAATGCTAAACCCAGCTTTTACAGTGTGAAATATGATTGTGTGGTATATTGAGTAGCTACCCATAGAGTTAAGATGTAAAACTGCATTTGAAGACCTTCCAACAGATTTAATAAAAATTTTGTTTTTTCTTTAGAGGGCAAAAATACAGCTGCAGTCAATGTTGCTAATGAATCTTGAAAGCCGCCCAGTAATATTTGAGGACATTGGGCGACAGGTGCTAGCTACTGGCAAGAGACTTCAACCTCAGCATTTCATGGACCTTATTAGTAAGTTTTAGTGAACTATGAGGTTGAACAAATATTGAAACTTCAGATTGCAAGAAGTGTAGTGGACATGTTAATTCATGAAAGAGGTAGAAAGGATATCTGAGGAACATTGTCCATGACAATCAAAATTGTAGATTTACCAAAGTTTTATGGAGATTGTCAATTCTGCCATTTTGTGTGAAATTATAGTGACAAAATTCAAACTATGAAAATACATTTCCTGAATATTGGCTGTTGGGTGAGGAAAAAAAGTGCTAAGATGGAGGGCAGAAATAGCATAACCTACACTATCCTTTTGGAATATATTTTGTCTCTATAAACTTGCTTGAGAGTGACAAGACTTGTGTGTGCAAGACATGTCTTGACATGTAAGTCAAGGGTTTTGTATAGATCAACCTGTTATATTGTGATTTCAATTTGAGATATTAATTGACAATTTTAGTTTAGTCTTTATGATGAAATATAGTAAATGTCTTTCATTCTAGGAAAAGTGAATGCAGATGACATCGTGCGAGTAGCAGGACAGATGCTACGCAGTAAGCCTGCTGTAGCAGCCCTTGGAACCCTTAGTCGACTACCTAACTTAACAGATATTGAGGGTGCTTTACTGCACCAGAATGGCCAGCTGCCTTCTAAGAGAAAGTTTACTCTCTTCCGATAATAATTTAGTAACTATTTATTATGTATGTGATCAAAATACTTTTTATATAAAATATTTTGCAATTATGTTTGGCTCTTGTGATGTAGGGAATTCATGATTAATGACTCAACCTTAACAGTCTCGTAGTTAGTAGGGACGGTTCTCTTCTTTACTTGGCAATCTATTTTTAAAGCAACTTGAACAATAAAATACTCGTTTCCACATTCGTGATCATTGTTATGACTGGGGGCTTATGAATTCAATGTCATGAGTGCTGCCTGAGAATTCCTGTAGTGAAAGGTTAGGCAAGACAAGGCCCAGCCCCCGTGATCTTTGCTCCCACATTACCACAGTGATTTGTTACTAGGAAATGACAGCCTAACTCAAGACAAGGGAGGAAATAAACTTCAGTTAAAGCTTACACTGTTTATCAATTAATCTCCCAAGTAACATCAAAGTGCTCTACCACATCCTACTTTATGTTAGGTGCCTGACTCCACATAGGGCAGGAGACGACATGTGCATAGCAAGCTAGTGGGAGGCCTACATTCCCTGAAGGAGGCAGCATGAACTTAACCCAAGACATTAACATAAATGCTTCACTTGAAGTGCCTGGATTTCAGATTACAGGATCCATATGGTCCAGTATATATATGTAGCACACATATTATAACCAGAATAGAATGGTGGCTCAAGTATTTAACATTAGGTATACATTATTACAGAAATAGGACCACACCAGCCATGTCTGGTCAACACCATGTAGCAGAGAACCCGCCAAAAACAGTGTGTGCCTCGGTGCTAGCTTCGTAAACCGATTGTACTGTAAACCCTCTTACCCAAAACCACCTATACAATCCTTAATGGCCACGATTCATTTCTCAGTATAAATAACATCCTAGCTTTATAATTAGCTAGGAGTGCCAAATACTCTTACATCTGGCTGAGATTAATATGCCTGGCATTTCTGGCTCAAGTTGGTAAACTGTGCATTTAAATAAAAGATGCATAATACTTCTTCCTCATCAAAACACACACACACACACATTATATAAAATATAAATATGAACCCTGTTGTAATTGTTAAAAATGTTAATCTAATACAATTCAGGACCATTCACATAAAACATGAAATAAAAATCCAGTTCTCACATTTCTCTAGGTAAACATACATGTACTCACCTAGTTGTGCTTGTGGGGGGATTATGTATACCACACTCCATGAAATCATGGCTCCTACATTCACAGTAGGGGTCTGCATTAGGTGCCAGGATTGTAATAACCTTTGTCAAGATATTCGTGTGTAAATTATTCATAATGAGGCATTGTAATTTTTAATAGCATCATTATATCCCACCTTTAGTAAAGTACTTATTCTGTTTGTTGGATTAATGTCAATTTTAAGTTGTCTTCATTATGGAACTGATTTAGTAAATTTTTTGCATCATGCATATTTAGCTTACATTTGATCTACCGTTTGTTACTTAAAATTTGTGTCCAAGTCTCAAAACATTTAAACCAAATTGAGGGTTGCTCACTGCTTTTGAGGAGTTTAGCAATAATAGATAAATACTATCAACAAGAGGAGGACAATTAAATTTTATACATCAGGTGTGGGTGTGCAGTTCCACTGGCGAGTGTCCAATACAGATGTGCGGAGGTTGTAGTATGATTGGTGAATGTGCAATACAGATGTATGGAGGGTGTATTACCACTGGATATTATGAGGTGTAAAGTTGTTCAGGTGGAGTTTACATGTGTGTGCTGTTCAGATATGTTAGGAGGTACTTTTCATGGGGGTATTAACCTGAGTGCAGTTACAAGTTTTGGTGTACCTTCGTTTAAATTTATTCCGTATGTCTTTCACTTTGTTGACAATGTTGTTGATTCATGTCACCATTTTCTATTTGATTATATTACCTTTTCCTCGTGTCTATAAGTTGACATATTTTGAAGCTTCTAGTTTTTCTCTCTCTTTTTTTTTTTTTTAAGTAACATGTCTGGATTTCTATTTATTTTGTGAGATTGACAGTTAAACAGCTGCTTAAATTTGTTTTTAGGTATGCTATGGATTATTTATTTTTGCACATATCCTTGTATTTGAAAGCAATTCTGAAAGTGGCAGATAATCATAGGTTCCTCTTGTGTTCTTTATATGAGGGTCTGGAGACTATTTGCTGTCCAAGACTAATCCTAATTCCATTTCCCTGCCAGAATTCCTTAGTCTTCACATTACAGTATGTGTAGGCTGACTGTTATCTTGTTTCACTTCAGGTATTCACACTCCAATATGTGACATTTCTTTACATTGACAATTTATTATGTGATGCATCATTTGCCTGTCTGTGTGTGTATGGGTGCATGCACGAGTGCCTGCGTATTCATCTAAATGTGCTTGGAAGGTTATCTTGAGATGATTTCGGGGCTTTAGTTTCCCCACGGCCCGGTCCTCGACCAGGCCTCCACCCCCAGGAAGCAGCCTGTGACAGCTGACTAACACCCAGGTACCTATTTTACTACTAGGTAACAGGGGGCACAGGGTGAAAGAAACTCTGCCCATTGTTTTTCGCCAGCACCCGGGATCGAACCCAGGACCACAAGATCACAAGTCCAGTGTGCTGTCCGCTCGGCCGACTGGCTCCCTACGTCCGGTCGAGCATCGGCTCATAAGCTCATTCTTGCAAATAAGTTTTCTATCATTTAAATGCGGGAAGTTGCCTGCCCTTCATTATATATTACAGTAATGCTTTTAGAATCTCCTCATTCCTGTTAATATATTAAGAACTTTGTATTTTTGAAGGTTAAAGTCTGGCCTGCCTGTGTTCAGATTCTGATTATTTTTACTTCATCAGCAAACATTGATATAAAGAAGTTTAATTCCTCTTGTTTGGATATTGACTTAAATTAGGAATACAATGTGCCATATTATAGACATTTGTGGTTCTCCATTCATTTCCTCTTGATATCTCCCCTCTCGATGGGATCCATTACCTCCCTGCTTGGTACTCCTGCACCCAATTTACCACTATACACCATCCTATTTACTGTATCTCGAATAGGAGTCTTTAATGGACAGTCTCTTTCTAGCTTTCTGACAATCTAGAAAAATGTAGCCTCCTAAAAAAAACTGCTACTTTATTACTTTCATCTTATTATAAATATCTAACATGTTTGTCACATCAGAAAATTCTTTTGCTGAATTCTTGTTGATGGTTGGAGACAAAATTAAAACCTCTGAGGTGATCTAAGAGCTTATTGGCATCAGTCTCTGAAGGCTTGTTTGTGATACCTCTCACTTTAACCATTAGGAGTATCTAACAAACAGGAATGAAGTTCCTAATCTTTTTTCTAAGTTGCTTCAGCCTGCTATTTCAATACCCTCTCCTAGACATGTTGCTGACACTTGAAACACATCCTTCAATTAAAAAACTTGCAATATTGCATGGAAATCCACTGGAGAAAAAATAAAAACTACATTGTACCATTTTCAGCTCGACGTTGATTCATCCATGTGGTAAACTAATCATGGTTTTACACCAATTTGTTAGTCACATGATCTGCATGCTTGCTAAGTAGAGAGACTTGCAAATATCTCCTAATATGTATGAATGTAATCTCATTGGTACACTATACAAAAAAAGTGTGTGTACCATTGTAATTTTTAGTTGTCATCTACTAAGGGGTCTTGAGGTTGGACTGCATTAGAGTAGTATTGTGATCCCACATTTAGTAATTACATTTACTGGCATGTATAGGTTTGAATGTTGACAAGCTGCATACAATATTCTCAAGATATAATTTATTATTTAATTTGTAGTAATTCCACAATTATTTGAAGCTTGTTTTCTTAATAAGCATTGGTTTCATCCTTTCTTGATCCTCAAAACTGTTATAAGAAAGAATAAATTAATGCTTGAGAGACCTGTGCAGTCTTTTGTGAAAGAGTGAATTAATTTTATACTGATAATTAATTTCCAGACTTTTCTCTGGCTGGAATTGAAGTGATAAATAGTCATTTGATTGATTATTTACACAGATTTTGCTTGCTTAATACAGTCACTAAAGTGTTAAGTCAGTGCCCAGGAGCTGGAGACCAATACTATTGTGTTAGACAAGGTTTTTTTGACATTTCAAAATTTGTCTGGTAGCATCTTTAAATTTTTATTAAGTTACAAAATGGGACTACAATTCCCAATTTTGAACCCCCCCATCCTTTTTTTTTAATGTAAATATGTAATATATCTTTTAATAAAATGTATTGAGTACAGTAATAGCATTACATCTTATCCTTTTCCTAAATAGGATACAGTATAATCCTAAATAGTATTACAAAGTAATGCACTCAGAGAATTATATACGTAGGAAAAAATATTTAATATGAGCGGGTCTTAGTGCAGTCATTTTCATTATCAATTCCTAACTGAGGGATCCCAGTCGAGACAGAAATGGTTGAGCTTGTTTACTTTTACCAAATGGCTCGGTTCACTCAGATGTAAATAGGTACCTGGGAGTTTGGCAATTGGTGTCGGGTTGCATCTTGGAGAGATGCAACCTTAGGTGACGTAGGATGCAGCCTTAGGTAAGGCGATTTGCCTTAGGTGACTTTGATACAAGTTTGCAGTATACAGTTCATATACACTGGCTTCCTGTCCCCAGCAAATTTATTATCTTTATTATTATAGAGCACTATAGTTCTATAGTAAGTGCACCAGGATATGTTCATTTATACAAATCAGTACAGTATATAGGGCTCTGCAATGTATATTATAATTACTTTTGGATTAAACATAAATTTTCTAATAGAATAATTCCAGAAATGGAAAATGTAATAGTGCTGGCTGCATCCCTCAGGTATCTTCATAACTTTTCAAGAAAAAACTGGACAGTTTTATGCAAGAAGTGCAGAGCCAACCGGGCTGTTGTGGATATCTGGGCCTGTGGGCTGCTCCAAGCAACAGTCTGTTGGACCAACTCTCAAGTCAAACCGAGCTTGGGGAGTAGAACTCTCAGAACCCCATCCAGGTACAATCTCTTTCCTTCTTCAGTAACTTCTAGGTTATCTCACCTCTCACAGAAAATAAACACATTCATGACCACCTGAGAGAAAGTACATACTTCAGCTGAGCTACAGGTCATATTGGCCCTTTTTTCTTCTTCTTCTTCTTCTTCTTCTGCTTCTCTTCTCTCTCAAAAATGTTACTTTTATATAAGCTTGATTAGAATCTGACCTTATTCACCAGGTATATTTGGTCAGATACAAAGTGCTTGTGTGTTCTATGCAGTTGACTTTTGACTCGTATGCAATTGCATAAAATCCAAAAATGCCATACCAACAATGAAGAACTGTTTCAATAAATATAATAATACATTTCTTATTAATTTATGAGGTCCTGCAAAATGACCAACATACACATTTGCAGTCTCTCCACAAAATGCTAAGAGTTTCAAGAAACACTATTTAATTCTCAAACTAAACTCTTGGGTCATTTCCTTCTGTCTGCATATTTAAGGATATCTGAAGCATGCTGCCAGCGTATGTTAAGCTGCAGAAGTTTACTAATATCAAATTTGGTCATTATCATACTGAGAATCACAAGGTAAAAAAATCTGGCAATTTTCCTAGTGCATTCAGGAGTTCATCCTTTAGAGGCCAGTCTACTTTGTAGGGTGCATTGTCCGGAGTAGTGCAAGGGTGAGTGACTCCTCTGCAAGGCTCTAAGGTTGGTGTATTTAGGGGCTTTAATGATTAAGGGTTCATTCATGTGCTTGTTCATATGGCATGCTCTTGATGCCCAATGTAGCCGTGTTCATGTTAACGTTTGCATTTGGAATTGGTTCTTATGGCAAGCCACTCTAGTGCTTAGGTGTTCTACTTGATCATTACCTTCAGGCCCTGGTAAGCCCCATGAGTCTTTTAGTGTGGTTCATCATAGATCAACCCACAGAGCCCACACTTGTTACTTGCGAGTTTGAGGGATGTCCATCGATATTGCTGCATATCACTGCATTAATTCTGTTTCCACCATGCCACCGTTGGATGGACGATGCCTTTTACCCCATGGCTTGTGACATTTGCGTCCATTCGGTCTCAATTATTGCAGCACTTTCTTCTAGACCACAATTGCATATTTCCTAATTTAAGAAACTTGTGTTGATTACAGTCTCCAAGCATGTTCACATAATATTCGTGCTGTAGCTTTCTCTACCAGGGTTCGAACCTGAACATCATTTACAAAATTCAGATTCCATTTAAATAGTCATGAACCACCTCCACATCACACAAACCATCAATCAAGCTCAGTAAGCCAATATTTTCTACACCTCTACTGTGTAATCTCCATGTAGTGTATAAGTGTCAGGGAAGTGGCATGAGAGCTCACTAACAATGTCATGGCAAGTGTATGACAGTATTTGATGATAATGTTTAGGCAGGTGTGGTTGTACTTGGTAACAATATTCAGGCAGGTGTTTTATTGAAAATGAAAAGAAAAAATGAGACTTTCTGAAGTAGTTTATTAGGTGATCTGTTACTTTCTTATAAATGTTATAAATAAATATGTTTGTATGAATACAATTTGAGAGGTTTTCTGAAAATGCATCACTCATAAATTGAGGGTTCACTGTATATTTATAATGATATATAAACAGTTTGCCACTAATATTGATGTAATCAAAAAGGAAAGTAAAAATACCTTGGAAAAGTAATGAATTTTATTGTGAGTGCATAACAACTACAATGTGCACAATAATGATATTCAAGATCTATCCTATAACAGTGACATTCTTTTGTCTCTTGAAATTGCATTTTGTCTGCTGACTGAGCAATGGCACACCTTGTTCTCTAACCTTTACTGTTCTTGTGAGAGCAGATGCTATACGAAAGTCAAGGGAAAGCTTGGACCTGCAGGTAATCGTCTTATTCAAAGCTGAGCAAACAAGAATAAATTGAGCATTATATGCATGTATTTACCTTAATATTTTCCCTTAACTTTTAGGCATTAAAAATCAATGGTAAAATTTGTTTCATATTACACTATTTGACAAATCATTACAAACAAACTGTTTATTTCTATGAACCATTCTTATAGCTAAATTCAGTGATAATACAGTAACATGATGCTTAATCATTTTCTTTGCACTAGTGATTAATGTATCCAGATGGTAATATAACTTATGCATACAGTAAAGCCATATATTAGAGAAAACTACAAATAATTATACTTTTCTCTTCCATTTTGTTGCTACACCAAAAGCTATACTGTACATCCATTACACTATTTCCTACAGTGTGAGGCTACAGCATCTGGGAAGGGAGGAATTGGCTATACATTAATACTGAATAGCTAATACAGTGCACAGAACACTGTATTGTAGAGGTTCAACACATTTCATGTGAGGTTCAGATCCTAATTAATTTCTCAGATTACTAGATACACATTTCTCACAAGACTGTAATAGCTACGGCACACACTCTTTCTCCTTTTTGAAAGCTGACACTAAAGTATTAACCGGATGTCTAATCAAGATGTTAATAAGACAGGCAAAATGCTTTTCCCATTATAATATATTCTTTACACAAGTATAGCAGTTTGAAACAACTTCTAGGATCATATATAAATTAAGGCAATAAAATAAATACATACCACTTAAAGTTTCAGAGATAAACTTGTACAGTATTTCACAGCAAAGTCTCTTAACACTATACTATACTGATCTAAAATCAAAGAAGAAACTTTATCTATATCTTCCTTGTGATGTTTGTTCTGTATCACGGTACATACTGTATACAAAAAATCACAGTAAGTTGAAAATACATTTGTAAAATGAGGTGTAAATTTAAGAACACTAAAATTGTACATTTGTTTTAATTTATTCAAAGCAAATAGTTAAATTTTGTCCTCCACATTATGATGATTATTACAATGCTGCATGGACAGGTCTGACCAACCTACATTAAGGAATACACACTGCTACATAAAATATAAAGTACAAGGAATTATAGATGTTACTGTATGATTCTAACATCTTTCACTTTTAATTGCTCATGTACTTTAATTTCATATTTTGTTAATTAAGTTATTCCTTTCAGTTCCAGAGCATATTATGCATCATGGTCCTGTTTAATAAATATATTTCTATAATACTCTAGTCTGTTTGCAGACTTAGTTACTGCCCAACCTGATATCTTTGGTAATTGTGTGTGTGGTATTTGTATCACAGAATATGTAGGGGCAGAGGTATTTTATGCGGTGTAGCCACTGACAAATATCTTGCTTCTTCTTCAAAACCTTTGAAACTCATCTGCTCACAGATACCTGAAGTGGACTCTGCAAGACTACTAAGTGTGGTCACGAGAGGCATGAGGCACATGCTGTTTTCATAACAGTCATATGCAGAGAAATCTTTTGCAGCAATACTACAAGGCCCTACCTACAGCAGGGCTAATAATGCTTTTACATTGGCAGTCACAAGAATAAGTGCAAATGAAGTGAAGTCAGATGGAGTTCTGAAGTAAAAATCACAGTCTGCTTTTAGGCTCTCTTGATATGGGAGCTTAAATCGTACTGTCGGACTCAATGCTGTCAAGTGTTACTCAGCTTGAGAGACATCAATAAATAATCCTGGCTCCAGATTATTCACATCTCATTTCTTGATGTAGGATCGTCGACGGTCAGGCTGTAAAGAAAGAAAATCTGTTAGATAGCAAGAACAACAGCTCGTATTTATGGTATTATCCACAGAGCTGTACTCAATTACAAGTTACTGTGTATTTGAAATGCATTGCTGTACATTTGTATAAGACGGCAAGAGTTGTTTCAACAAATTTAGCTACTCTTCATGCTGTTTATATTGTTGTAGACTTGGAATACTCAAGATTAGCTTTCAACATTAAAATATTCTTGGATTACTTGACTTGTCAAAATAAAACTATGAATCAAATAACTTGTATAGCAAGTGTATATGAACAGTAGTATGTCATGTGGTTCACAACATGAACAATTCTTATATATTTGCTAACATTTAACTCTACTGCCCACATTCAACTCACATGGTTTTATGTAATTAAGACACTTGGAACTACCATTCTAAACTATTTAAAAACAGAAAAGCACATCACACACTACTTCACTGCATTATTAAAAAACTATTTTTTATGATCATTTATAAAGATGATCACAAATGCAAAGTTATATCATTAATATTACTCACTGGGAGAATGTTAAACCAGCAGGTAAGGTCCTCACTGACTCCCATGGTGGCTCCTGCATTGTCAAACTCTCCGCAGTAATTAGCTGCACTGAACAGTGTCACTAGGGACCGCTTTTGAAAGAATTGGTAGCCATCCTCGACTACCTGTAGAGGCAATGTAAAAATTATAATATTAGACATAATTGCTAAAATAAATTTAGTTTTTGACTTCTAAGTAAAAAGAAGCAATTCTCTACAAATACATCTCTTATTCATTTACATTTTATTTAACTAGCTTATGTATACACAGCAATGCGCTGCTACCCTATTCCATATAAAAAAAAATTACAGCTTAGATAAAAAAAACTAGCCATAAATTAATCTAATATCCCCATTTCACAGGATGGTTAGTCATACATGGAATCAGGGGAAGAGCATGAAATGTGAGGCTGATTTATTAGCCTGCACTAGCAAACTCTGGGTAGAGCACAAGAATATATTTCAATATTCGTGAGTGTATGAAGTAGTTACAGAGCTCAAAGTACCTCATACCATTAGGTCTGAAATCATTGATTATTTGATAACTTGATTCCACTGTAAATTCCACCATTGTGAGAGGGCGTGCAAATGAAGAACTTGTCTAGACATTTTAACCTCCCATCTTTAATAATATTATTTCCTATTGTTTTGGGACAGGAAATCTGTTAAGCTTATTAAGGTACCCCAAACTAATGACTGACCATTACCAGGATGCGACCTGCAACAGTTTACTAACTCTCAGGTACTTATTTACTGCTAGGTGAACAGAACCAATCAGGTGTAAGAAAACTTTTGCAAACATCTCTACCTGCCTGGCAATCAAACTCTGGTATAATGATACAAAACTCCCAATTTATGTACTCTTAAGTTATAGTAATTAAAATCTAAACTATATAATCAAGACACAAAAGATAAATTTGAGAAGAATTATTGAAGATAAGATTTCACCTATAAAGATAGACGAGGTTTTTACATATTATTACATGTGGTTTATATAAATTATATAAACCACATTTTCTTGGTGATTTAGCAAGTAGGGATGAAACACTGTAATTTCCTTGACTTTGATAGTGTTTGATGGCTGAAATTTCTGTGCACTTTCTTTTAATTAAATTTTCTATGCACTTTCTTCTTCAAATGCCAGAATGTTAATAGAATCTAATCGTGACTTACACCACAACATCATTCAAAAGAACCCAGGAAATTTCATTAGTACATCACCACTTGCCAAACTGTTACTATAAAAAATATTAATTATGGCAAACATAATCCCTAACATCTCTTTCTCTATCTTACCCAACCATCGCCTCATCTTTCCCTTCGGGACCAGTTAGGTCTGTGTATCTGGGAGATTTGATAAAATCTTCACAGACTACTACTATTTAATTTTTTACTATCTGCAAGGTAATTACACTTAGGTAATTACAGGAGAAATATTGTAACTAAAATCTATTCTCTACAGTATTTTATGTTTCTCTACACGTGTGTCAGGTGGTGCCTGAAACAACTTGTGAAGAGCATTGTGTCCATACCTGGTGAGCACGCACAATGAGGCTCAAATCATGGTGCTCAAGGAAAGCCTTAAGTACATCTCCGCCGAAGGTCCAAGACACGCCTCTGTCATTTGGAGTCCATCCACGACCCTCCTGCAGGAAACCAAAGATCATCTTTATTATAGCTGCATATTCAGGTAACTCTCCGTCAAAGCCCCTGTATATTTTCAAACTTTCAAACCCACTGAAATCTATGAATATATTAATACAATTTCCTCTAACTTCTGAGTATCGTTTATCCCGTAATAAAAACCTACAGATAAGTAGATAGAAACTGTCTTATTGTTTAAATAAATATTATGTATCATTATGTTAAATTTAATACAAAATTTGATAAAGCATTATGTAATCTTACCTCATCGGGGTCAGCCCAGAGGATGTCACACACCAAGCCAGAGTCAGGGACATTGAGAGGCCTCTCAATCGCCCGTAACTGTTGGAAACAGATAAATGTAAGTAAAGAGGGGATCATGGATGGTAACATTCACAGACAAAACACAGTCAATGGGAAATTAAAATTGGAGAAAAAGTCAGAAACCAGGGGAATCATGATGTATGATATGGCTCATATAATGATTAATTCCCACTGTACCTGGCTCGGGCAGCAAACGCCCGTGATTAGTTATTGTGCCTGATTATACTGGCAAGCAGAGCTCGGTACATGTGTGGGTGTTGTGGTACATATGTGGGTGTCTACATAGGTACAACTGGTTGCAAGTCATTAGTCAGATTGTGTCCCAGGGAAAATTAGCAGGATAAGACCAAGTACAATCTGTGCGAGGGAAAACTCGAAGCCAGCTAACATGAGCCAGGAGTCATCGCCTGTACCCCACAACATAATACAAAAAAGTATCGTAGTTTCGGATGAATATTACCAATACTGCAAAAATAGGGCGATGCCACGGATAACAATCATGGAAAAAAACCAGGAAGTGTTGAATATTGTCAGATTCTAAAGATGTGATGCATGGGGCATTGGTTGTGGTAATAAGTAGCACGAGTGATATAGTGGGTGGGTCCAGTTAACAGTGGTTCCCAAACTCTCCAGTCATTACCTCTTTTTTCATATAGATTTGCTTTGTCCTGGGTTCGTATCCTGGCCAGGGAGGATTTACTGGGCGCAAATCCTTAACTGTAGCCTCTGTTTAACCCAACAGTAAAATGAGTACCTGGTTGTTAAACGATTTGGCGGGGTCGTATTCCAGGGAATATAAGATTAAGGACCTACCGAAACGCTATGCATGCTAGTGCTGTACAAGAATGTAAGAACTCTTGTATAAATAAATAAATAATAATAATAATATTAAAGTGCTTATTAATGGTCCCAAACAGTATTGCAGAACTGTTTAACATCCTGTGAGCACGCTGGTTATTTCCCCCCTATCCTTTGGTATCAACCTTTGCACTGCCTTAAGTGATGGCCCCCTACATATTGCAAAAAAGGAGGACATGGTCCTCAGTTTGGGAATCAGTGGTCTAGTAGGTATAGTTTGACAGGTGGGTTTTATGGTGAGAAAATGCAGGGTCAATATAAATGTATTTAATGATTCGTGACTCAAGATGAGATGACACAGGAACATCACTCTAGGGACATGACAACAAGTGTGACCAGAGTCGTGGGGGAACACTGGAAGTTGACGACCTACCTGTTCAAGATTATGGAGGTCTGGAGACAGCCCGCCGTGCATACACAAGATGGTGCCTTCGATAAGGGCAGCTGTGGAATCAAAAAAATACCGTCACAAACTTGTCTTTTTAATTTTACAGTTCCTTAATTGCATATCAACACCTGGATTTGCGACTTGTAAGACATGAGTGAATATCTTAATTATAAAACAGTTTTTTCTTTAAATAACAAATTTGTTGAAAAGGAAAGAGGTGAACCAAAAAAAAACCGTTCGCTCACCCAAGGGGAGGCAGTTGAAGAGATCTGTAAAGGTTTTCCACAACTTTACATTGTATCTTCTTTTGCACTCGTCATAAAAGCCATATATCCTGGGGAACAGAAACAAACTCAAATTTAGTAGGAATAAACATATAATTAGCTTTTCATTTATTTTTGCAAGACCTGGTGTGGATACATAAGAGTACACTTAAATTTATTGTTGTTTTGCCACGAGGTGAACAGTAGACCCAGCTTAGTTCAGGAGTTTTCAGCAATTGTAATACTTTCGTGGTGTGCTATTCTAAGACGAAGTTTGACCGTTCAACTCGGTCACCTAAATTAGTGAAATAACACCTAACACTGCGGAAAGTTTAATACAAAAGGTTCATTACACAACTATCAAAAGACTCCTAGACTTATGTGAAGGGAATGTACTACCTCTGGTTCTACATCAGTGATGAAGGCACCTTGAAGCTGAACACTTACCTGTTAATAGAGGCACATTCGTGATTTCCTCGCAAAATGAAGAAATTGTTTGGGTATTTTACTTTGTATGCCAGCACCAAACAGATTGTCTCCAAGGACTGTTTCCCTCTGAAAAATAAAGTGCAAACAATTTATTATTGAGGTGAAGTGACAATTTGTTTGCAATATACATCACATACTTGCATTAAAATGATGTTCAATTTAAATTAGAGTACATAATAATAATTAGTTTTCTCGGGAAAATGAATCATGTATATATACTTTAAGCTTGTGTTGATGTCCCTGGACGGTCGATCTATTGCCCCTCTCTGATGCAGTTTCACGGAGGAAGCATGGCCAACCATTTCTGTCTCGCCCGGGAATCGAACCTGAGTCGAGAACGAAGCCAACGGTACTACAAGAACCCTAAGCACTACGAGACCTCTGTAACATTGTTACATGGTCGGTGTGTGCCTAAGAATTTGTAGTGACCACTGCAGTTCTAAGCGAGATTCTCAGTGGAGTTCCACTGAGAATCCCTTGCTGTTCCCTGAAAGTTCCCTTGCTTCCACTCTTCCCAGTCTGTATTAACAATATTTCTTCTCTCAGTGAGTTTTTACAACCCTTTTTCACCATGTATTAAACCTATGTACACAGTGATGTATTAAGCTTGTGTACACAGTGGAGGTATTAAGCTTGTGTACATAGTGGAGGTAAGAAGGGGGAACCGAGGTGCAGAAGTCAGCTATTAAATGCATTTTGTTGTATTTTTGTTTTAATATCTGTATGTGGGAATAATCTACGTAAAAGCTTTGAATTTTCGCAGTTGAACCTCGTATTACATTTACTTCATTTATTTGAATTTAGAGAGTAGGTCAGAGGTGAAGGAGCCATGACACAGCGCTACCACCAGAGGCTTAATGCCACGCTTCAAGGTTTATTTTACCATATTTTCAAGAAATTTGTCCGTTTAAGATATGACTTTAAATTACATAATATTTACGTGGTTGATGTTAACACAGTTCTGTGTTTAATATTATGAGGTGTATTCCTATTTCTCGGAATATTTACACTTTGAATAGTTTATGACTAAAATATTCATGGTCAGTAAGCTATTAGAATTGCTTTCATAACCCCTCCCGAGGTTGGCAGGTCTTAAGGCCAACACCAAGACCAACGTATGCTTTAGCTTTTAAACTCTACAGTGAACAATGTCAACTGATTTTCATTATGCGAATCGCCAACACAACAAACCGCCACCAATATACACTACCTGTCAACGTAGTCGCCGAGGAACAGGTAGTTCTGGTCTGGAGGGTAACCCAGCTTATCGAAGTGCCTAAGGAGGTCGTTGAACTGGCCATGGATGTCCCCAATGATGTTAACTGGGGCCTCGAGCTCTACCAGCGTCGGCTGGTCCAGCAGGACCTGACGAGCTGCTGATACCAGCGCCTTAATCTTGCTCTCTTCCATGCGGATCTGTACGGAGAGAAAATAAGTGTTGTAATACGAAAGTTATTGAATATTTAGTTTATATCATATTATAATAGTTGCGACTTTACTATTTTTTTTATCTATCCTAGGCAGATACCGCCATCTCCTCAACTTCAGCTTAATTATGGAGCATTGGCTGCGGTGAATTCGCTCCGGACGTCTTGGCGACAGGGTTAGTAGACTATGTGACCTGACTAAAGCAGAGCAGCCAATGTGGACGCGCTCCTACATTTCGTGTCTACCTTCAACATGTTTCAATCTTTCTCTTCACATAACCATTTTCGAGCCCATGAAAAATTGAAGACCGATAAATCGATCATATATATACAATATATGAGCGTTCATTGCTATAAATAAAAGTAGAAGTCAGTGGTTGAAGCTCAGGTTGCTGCATCCGCCATCCCCCTCAGCCCGTCCTCATAAACAAAGGTCAAATGCTCGTTATTCCAGCCGCCAAACCCCCCGTTTATAATTCATTGTGTCGGGGGATAGGCTCAGTTTATACATACAGGACACGTTAGGCTTGTATCGCGTTCTCCAGGGTCGAATTACTGACCCTCGCCAGGATGCAACCCCACAAGCTAACTCCTGTGTACCTATTTACTGCTAGGTGAACAGGTGCATTAGGTTATAGGAAACGCGCCCAACCATTTGTCCTCAACTCGTCCTCGACTCCAAGTCCATTACATCTAGTGGTCGACCCCACAGACGCATTCATAATTTTTTACATTCTGTTCATTCAAAACTTTTTCTGAATTTTCTCAAATATAAATTAATATTATAAAATATTAGCATATTGTGTATATATAGGCATAGGTTAGGTGTTTAGGTTCTGTTGGCGATTATTTGTATTTGTAGTACGTGGTTGAAGCATTTATAACATTGTGGTTCGAACAAAATTCGTCAGTGAAGCACTTGTTCCGGAAGTGTTCGAACGAAATCAGTTGTGAGTCGTGTGTAAACCGTTTTTCATTCATAAACAGGGGGTCTGGCGGGTGCATGGAATCACTTTTTTTTTGGGGGGGGGGGGTCTGTGTTTGGAGGATGGGCTACTGTCCTGCCCGAGATTCGAACCCGGAATTCTCGTCTGCGAGTCGAGAACGAACTCGAATGTACTACTGGGCAGCCCGTCCTCATAAACAAAGGCCAAAGTCCATTCCATGCAGCCGCCAAACACCCTGCTTATGAATGTAAAACGGCTTACACACGACTCACAACTGATGACGTTCGAACACTTCTCGAACAAGTGATTCGCTAACGACATTTGTTCGAACCTCAACGATATAAATGCTTCACCCACGTACTACAAATACAAATAATCGCCAACAAAACCTAAACACCTAACCTAACTATACGTAGAATTTTAATGTGTAATAATATTAATTTATATGAGAACAACCATATTTAATACATGGTATGTTATAATTGATAAATGCATCTGTGGAGTACAACCACTGCTTTAACGAGCCTGGCCTGAGGACGGGTTGCTACGCCACAGGGATCGTCAGTAACACAAAATTCACCGACTTAGACAGTTGATACTAATAAGGACTTAGACATTTGAAGGCTTAAGCTAAACAGGAGAGTTAGTAAACGTAAGATTGTGTTTATATACGTGTGTGTGTGTGTGTACATGGCAACGGGAATCTAGAAGGTTTGATCATCTCAAAAGAAAAGTTTATTTAATTAGTGAATTATGAACTCCAGACCTCTTCAGTGGGATGCGGCAGAAAGGTTAGTTACATAATTGGTTCAGGAACTGGATCCCCAATGTTTTATAAACTAAGCAATTTAAATTTGAAGAGAAAGTTACATTCACTTTTAATTTGGCAATCATACTACCCAACAGTTAATTGTTCGGCTGGCGGTAGTAGGAAGTTTGAATTCTGGGCATTTGACTAAAATTTGGATTAATATATAATCTTGGATAAAATAAGAAGGCAAGGTGTAATAATATATAATCAGGAGACGGCACTGAAGAGTAATGTTAAGAAATAACATTATTGAAAATTGGTGATAGTTGACTGTAGATTGTTAGATTTTTCACATTCAATTACATAGTGACGTAGGGTGAGCGAATAGTTACTGACAAGGGTTAATACCGTTCACATCTACATCAGAATGATGCAACCTTCCAGATAAAAAAAAAACTCGTTAAATGAATTGATTTATGGAAAACACGTAGAGAGATGTGACTTGCATAGTGCTACTGAACCACTGAGAAACTTTTAATTGTTGTGCGGTAAGATTATTAACGTTGGGGAGCCTCGGGCATGAGTGTCCACAGTCAGATGCACTTTCTGAACGATATTTATCTTAGGTTAAGAGCACGAACAAAAAGCTTGACTAGTACGTTTCAAGATTTATATAGTACCTAGTTACGCTGCCATATAAAGAACTATGTAGGCTCCGAACGCATTTTGAAGTTATCTTGCTAATGTGTTTGGATTGTTGATTGGGCATTATGCGTCTTATTGTTAAAGTGACGTGTATATATTGTCAGGGAAAAGCGCCAAGTCATTACGACTACATAGCGTATATGTATTGAAACTTTTGTGCAATAATTTAGCCAGATAATTATAAATGGGTTTTCTGCAAAATTATAACTATAGATAGGTTCCTGTAAAGAAGATAATTATTATTCAAGATAAGTTTAGAAAATACCAAGTCATAGACCATAAATCCCTACTGGTTAAATACCAGCCCGTTCTAAGGTTCCCAACGTAAGAAACTGTCGTACTAGTGTCTTTATTCTAACATACCAGAGGACCCAAAACAGAAAACGGGACAGCATGTCAATTCTCGAATCGCTATCATTTTCTAGTACGGCAATTTCAGGCTTTGGGTAGAGTATATGTCAAAATGCGACGTTCTGTTAGGAGGACAGGTTGAAATACAGCATTGATGTTACTGTAGACATACAGGCAAAACAGGATGACGGGAGAGACTAGCAGAAAGAGGAAGTAGCAAGAAGGGCAAATAAATAAAGTGCCTAATACATAAACAGCAGTCAACACAGATTTAGAGATAGCAGAATAAATTTATGGCGTATTGTCTCAGCTGTCGCATATCATGTACACACTGGTCACCAGATCCTCGACCCAGGAAGAATCCTGAACACTGGTTCAGACCTTACAGAGCACTAAGGATGCAACACAATAATACAGACGCGTCCTTCAGGTGTTATGAAGGTTAAGAAGTATTATTCTCTTCATAATCACGTGGCCAGCACCTCCCTCCCTTTCCTTGAGATATAAACACAGTGACCCACGTGCACGATAAATTTTTATTATTGAACAAATCCACAAGGACCGTGATGAGGGTTCGAACTTACGACCGGGATGATCCCAGACCCTGTCTTAGTCTCATCACAGCCCTTGTGGATTTGTTCATTTGATGCATCACGCTATTGTGATTTCTGTGTTTTAATTATTGGTTTGTGATAAATCGTGCTAGTTGCCTGCAACTAGACATAAGACAACGTAATACGGTATGAAACTATTATTTTATCAAAAGTTTATACGAACGAAGTATGAGACAAGATGTCTTACAGAAGTACTACCGAAATTTTCCTCTTACTGTTATTTTAAGGCACTGTGGTGTAGTGACACTCCATCCTCACACTGTTAGGAAAGTTAGAAAACTGCCCGTCCTTTAGAGTTATCAGTTACAAAAATGATGTACTAATTTGCCCGAACCTAACCTAACCGAGGACCCTACGAGTAAAAGACGTCAATTTTGCGAGCAACCGTGACTTGTAGTACATTATATTTTTATATTATATTTTGCTAGTTGGGGATTTATACGTCAAAATGCGATGCACTAATGGAGCTGACGGGTGTTTCGTTATCTGTACTGTAATTGAAAGTTGTAATTATATTTATTTTGATAGTACGTATGTGTATAGCAAGCCGAAAGAAAATCAGGTAAGGTGTTGCGATTCGTTCGGCAGTTATTTGTATTTAGAGTGCGTGTAAGAAGCACTTTGAGTTTTATATTAGAGTAACAAGGTTATCGCGAATAACAGAACTCCATTACGGGCTCACCATAGCCCGTGCTACATGGACATTTCGTTCTGGGTAGCTAAATCTAAAACAACACATACTTTGAGAGGTGTGCTTCGAACACTGGAAGTGAGCGAAGCTTGACTGTTTAAGAAAAACTGGAACGTAATTAATCAGTTGAGTCGTGTGTAACGTGTTTTATATTCATATTTAGTTGGTCGGCTGTTGGATTAACGAGCGTGTTTGTCCCCGTTTCTGAGGATTGGCTGCTCGTACAGTCGCCTCTCAAGTGTGCCAAGTGAGAGGACCTTGGTTCGAATCCTGGGCAGGATGGAATGATTGCCCACCGTTCCTTCACCTGGTTTGAGCGCGTGCATCCAAAAGGGTGCAGTAATTGAGCACCTGATCTATAACTACCGGCAGATAGTGATCTGGGGAAGGCACGGTACTGAACAACCTATTCCGTTGTAGCGCCCCGCCCGAGACCTAAATTCCGTGTCGCAGATTACCTCCCCTTCAAATTCTTCTTTTCAGGGACACAGTCGTGATTTGAAGCTGCTGGTTTTCACTGGAATGAATGGGATGTGATGATTAGGTGTACCCTGGGCTGCTTGTGTGTGCCCGCATGCCCACTTGTGGCACTGTTGTACCCAGAGGTCGGCCGCGCCACACTCCCCTGTAGCTCACTGCTTCTGCTCGCCTTACACATGTTTGACTCCTGTCTTCTGAAAGCTTGCTTTTATTACTAGGCTTGTTTGTCTTATTACAGCAGAGATATATAGCTATACATAGTTATAGAAAACTATGCCAAGATTTCTCTCCCCTTACTGTCTCCACCTTTCTTCCTTCCTAGTTAGGCCTACATAATTACTACATTATTAAGCGAATCGGGGTTTTCCTTTTCGATTAATTGCATCGATTAATGCGCTGTTCCTGGTAATGAAAACTAATGAACTATTTGGAAGTTCGCACGTTGAAGAC